TTCCTGTCAGAGCAAGCCACACAACTTCTTGTCCAAGCTCTTGTTCTCTCCAGACTGGACTATTGTAATGCTCTCTTGGCGGGCCTTCCCGCATGCACTATCAAGCCTCTGCAACTGATCCAGAATGCAGCAGCGAGAGTGGTCTTCAATGAGCCAAAAAAAGCTCACGTTACTCCTCTCCTCATCAGGTTACACTGGCTACCAGTAGCATCGCAGTACCAGTAGCTCGCATCAAATACAAGGTACTGATGCTTGCCTACAAGACCACCACTGGCGCTGCACCAATATACCTAAACTTGCTAGTTCAAACTTATGCGCCCTCCAGAAGCTTGCGTTCTGCAAGTGAACGTCGCCTCGCGGTGCCATCCCAAAGAGGCTCAAAATCACTCTCACTGACCTTTTCCTGGACTGTTCCATTCTGTTCTATTCCATTCTATTATTTAATAATAATAATAAAAAATAATAATAATAAAAATCTAGCTACGTGTACTGTGCTAGACTAACTGAGACTTGTCATGGCACTTGTATACTGTTGTTCTCTCGTTGGTCTGATTGCTTCTATTGTTCTCATTTGTAAGTCGCTTTGGATAAAAGCGTCTACTAAACGATTAAATGTAAATGATTAAATGCTATTTTCCGAGTCATTGATGTTAATCAAGCAACAAAAGAAAGACAGAAAATCACACACTGCTCTTGACTGAAAAACTTTAGTAGCCCTAAAGATTAATCTAAATTTATTTATAGAAATAAATATGTCTGCTTGAAAGAATGAAGAATATGGTAAACAAGTTGCTATAAAGAATGCATAATTAGCCTATATAACCATTGGTATTTCATTAAAAAGAAGACCTTGTTCTTGTCCTTTATGAGAAATGGTTTTATTTAATTTTAACATAAAGGCATGTTGTGTGTCACCGCAGTTAAATCGGTGTCTATCATGATAAAACCTTAATGTCAAACCTATATAATGAGTTTGGAAATGTTAGAGAAATGCTTAATAAATGCACTGTAACTGGTTTTATTTAATTTTAACATAAAGGCATGTTGTGTGTCACCGCAGTTAAATCGGTGTCCATCATGATAAAACCTTAATGTCAAACCTATATAATGAGTTTGGAAATTTTAGAGAAATGCTTAATAAATGCATTACACTAACTAAACCCATTAGATTTTAGCAGACTAAATTTACCGTAGATTTAGTCTACTAAAACTAGACTAAAACTAAAAACAATTCAGATGGCTAAAATATGACTAAAACTAAATGGCATTTTAGTCAAAAGACTATGATTAAAACTAAATCGAAATTTTCTGTTAAAATGAACACTGGTCTCCACCCTACTCAATCACACCAGCACAGACCTGCTCCAGTTTCACTCAGTTAACTGAAGTAGTAAACGCTACACAATGGCATGCGTCAATATTGCATAAATGGTTATTGGAGAGTGAATCTGTGAGTTTATTCATATTCTGAATGGATTATAACCTAGAAAGCATGCAAAAAGCTCTCCCCTTATAATCACTAAACAGCACTTACTTTAGAATTGTGACATTCAGTGGTGGTTCTAGCTTGTATGGTGCCCTAAATGAAATTAATTTTACACAAAATGTTCTATTTGATATAAATGTAAATATTTAAACTATTCAGGCAAAAATGATAAAATACCATATGTCTGGTTATGTAAGCTAGTTGGACAGAAAAAAGGAATGTTGTTGCCCTATGTGCAATAACATATCATAACATAAAATATATATTAACCTATTTTAGCGAGATGAGTGATGATGAGCGAGATGATAGCTGCATAGATACCATTTATCTTTTGCACATTTCCCCTCTTTTATTTTCCTGAATTGGGCTCCTGATGGCTTACATTCCCACTCTCCCTACTTAATTCACATAAGTGAAAGTGAAATAAAGTGAATAAAATGAAAATGCAATGCTCATGCTACATCATATTTTTTATTTTTATTTTTATTTTTTTTACAGTGGTGCACATTATAACCAATCACACACTATTCCATTGAGTTTATGAATGCAGTGGCCAATCAGAGGTGTTCAAATGAGCTCGCTCACGGAATTCTGCACTCTCGCGAATTCTCTCATCATAAACAACAATATATCTCCATATGCACACTCCGACTTGACTAGGTTAATTGACCCACACAGTGACATGCATATGAGCAGTAAAAACCTGATATATGTATATAATATTCTATTTGCAATTTTAACTTTTAATTCTAATTTTAACTGAAAGCGACACTGACACTGTTTTTTGCTTGCTTTTAAGCAATCTATTTCATAGTTATATAAATAAACATGTCGTTACTAGACTTTACTGAAGTGCCGAATTGCAGAGCTCATGCAAAACACATCCACATCACTATGCTTTCTTAACTGCTGGTTTCTCATCGCTGTCATGTTTGTTGAGTGTTTATTTTGTTATTGCCAGAAAAGTGCATAGCACATATTCATATAAATCCTGCTCTCAACAGCATCAGGAGTTTGCTAACAGTAACCACTACTTGCATATGGTATATCAAACTTCTTTTTACCTCCTAATTGAAGAACGAAAAAGAACTACACTTTGTATATCAGGGCCTTTACACATGACAGCATTTTTTTTTGGATGTGGTTCTGTAAAACTTTCCCACACTTTGCAGAAACAACTGGAATCCAGGCAGCGAAACGTAGATTTTCAGTTACCATTTTCTGTCTTATATGTTGAATTTTGGGGTAAAATCGTACCCTTGGTTATATATTGTATTGACAACTCACAAATATTTACTTTTTACCATTTTGATGAGTCTTTTGTTCTACAGGAGGATGATTTATTAAGGTTAGGCAAACCCAGTTTTCTTTACAAAGCAAGTGTGTGTAGATGGATGGATGGATGGATAGATAGATAGATATAGAAGCACAAACCCTATTTAAAATGCATAATTTCAGTGCGATATACATGATAATCAGAGCCAAAACAGATGTTTTTAGCAGGTACGAGCTGTAATAGAGTGGGGGAACTATGACGTCACTTTGTATGCGGATTGGCTATTAGCATCACACTGGTTCCCTCGACAAAAAGCCAATGGGATTTTTCCATAGGCTTTTGGATTATCGCAAAAAATAAGCTAGGTGTTCAATCGTAGTTCATGAAACTTACACGTTTTGTCCATCAAGATAATCTTAACAAAATAATATAACCTTTATGAATTTTTAAGCCAAAATAAAAGCGCCAGAACTTAAAAGCTAAACTTAGGCTATAAACGAACTACAGCACCACGTCGCTCGCCTTCAACGTCACCACCACCACGCTCCCGGACAACTTTTTCAAACTTATTTTTAACACGTGTTTTTTTTTTTACGTTCAGTGAAAAGGATTTACTCCTGTGGATGAATTTTAACCCACGCTACATGAACCTTTTCATATAAACTGGAATAAATACAAAACTAGAGCCAAACTAAAACTGAAATGAGACATTAGTAATAAATAGTATAGTGAATAAATGAAATAATCATAACTAAACGACACATGAAAGCACGTATTTCTGTACATTTTGAAATAAGAAGCATTAAAAGTGAATAAATCTTTGATTAATATGAATATTTTAATTAAAAACGTGTCTCCACGTACTATTCAATACAATTCTAGTGCATTTAATCTATTAAATAACAGCAGAGTGAGCGAGTTTTTGGATATGGTAAGATTAAACTTATTTTAGTGAATAAAGTACCACGTTTCAGCTATCGTTTTGTTTGGATGGGTACACACACAAATGTTATTTTATCCTTGCTTCTAGAAAATCCTCAATCTATGTTTTCTAACAGCTGCTTGTGGCCGTAAACATTTCATTTTAACGTGGCTTTAAGCAGTATGCATCATTAAACTTTCACTTTCACCACGACTAAGCCGGTAAATGTGGTGTTTACATGGAATATTCAATATGAGTTTACCTTATGGTCCGAACCCAGAGTCTCCGCATAAGTAGGAAAGCGATAAAACGAGCATTATCCATCTGAAGACTTTTGTGTTACATTTCGGGGCAAAGCAAATAAACATTGTCAAACAACAGTATAAAATGAGGTAAACTATTAATTGGTTATTCTACAATTAATTGTACTATATAAATGATACTACAATTGGAAAATACTGTAAATTGATAAACTGTTGATAAACTGTTCGGCGTGATGACGTTTAATGTCTCCGACAGCATCTGTAGTCCCATTTAGCAACTTGTTAGCAGCTGTCTTTTTTAAGAAACGTAACAGTTTAAAAAAATCACGAGTGGGGTGTAACTGGTGTGTTTTATGTCGTAGAATAAAACGTGAAAGTATCTTGAGCTTGTGTGAACCACGAACCTTATTTTAGGGGATTTAAGCAAACGCCCATTCAAAAAACCCATTGATTCTCGGACGATGGAACCGGAACTCGCTTCCGGGTTTTTGCCTACAAAGTGACATCATAGTTCCACCACTCTATGGCGCAGCTCTATTCTGGAAAAGGGGGCGGGGAGCAGCAGCTCACTCAAAATAGGCATTTTCAAAATGATGTAATAAATGATCTGTGGGGTATTTTGAGCTGAAACTTTACAGACATATTCTGGGGACACCTGAGACTTATATTACATCTTGTAAAAAGGGAGACATAACCGACTGTGTTTACTAGAATACCAAAACAGGTATTTTAACATAACTTTGTGTGTATGTGAAAGAGGAATCAATTCACAAGTATTTTGAGCTGAAACTTCACAGACACATTCTGGGGACACCTGAGACTTATATTACATATTGTAAAAATGGGCATAATATGTCTCCTTTAATACATTCTGTGGTGATTTTTTTTTCTGTGCTTGCTAGTGTCAAATGTGTTTTGTTATAATTGTAAGTGATTGTTTTTAAGAGATTGTTTTTATTTTCCTTTTTTCATTTTAATTAAATGTTTTAGTTAATTATTGTGTCTCATGAATAGATGCTAACTATATATTGTGTGTTATTTCTGTTTTTACAGGAGTTTTTTGAGCATGCAAAGAATCTGTGGGATGATGAGGGGGTGAAGGCCTGTTTCGAGCGCTCAAACGAGTATCAGCTCATTGACTGTGCACAGTAGTGAGTATCTGTTTTGATATGTGTCAGCTTTACTTCCACAGTAGTGCTGTCATCTCCCACAGCGTGTCTCCTGATCGTCTATCATATTTGCTGAGTGAACGTTTCTTGTCTGAGAGTTGCTACAGAACCCGTGTGCAGCACAACCTATTGGATAATGCAGAGTGGATCTTTTTACTTGTGTGACCCACTGATGCAGTGCAGTGTCTAAACTTTCTCTTCGTCTCACTTTTTGTGCATTTGGATTCCTATGCAGGTCTTTACTTAGTATAATAGGTTGTATGACGATGAGGAAGGAATACTCTAAGAAATAGTTTGGCATGCAGATGTTATTGACTTGACGTTTCTAAAATTTCTCTCTAGACCAGGGGTCTCCAACCCTGCACCTGGAGAGCTACCTTCCTGCAGGGTTGGCGACCCCTGCTCTAGACATTTCTCTACTAATTCATATAGTACTGATTTGCTTTGGTAGCATCAACAACAAAAAAATCTATTTAAATGGCTCATTGTTAGGGCCGCACGATAAATCGCATGCGTTATATTAATGCGCATCTTGTCAGTAAATCCGCTTCTGTAATCAGCGGTAACCATTGTTCACTGACAAGCTGCGCAAAACCACGTTCATATATAGTGAACAACAGCTCTGTGTAGTAAATGCACGCACGTAATGGAGATTTACCGCTGATTACAGAAGCGGCTTTACTGACAAGATGCGCATTAAATATTGCATGTGATTTATCGTGCAGCCCTACTCAATTGTTAAGTTTAACAAAAATTACATTTTAAGGGCCCTATGAAATGATTTTTTCCCCTTTCAAAATCTGTATTATTTTTACCAAATTTGGTGTTTTCAATTTACATTTTTCTGTAAAAATTAAAAACTGAAAATTTTAATTATATTTTTTGTATTATTACATGATAATAAAAAATATATATTATTATTATTACATTGGGACATACATTCTACTGCACAACAGTACCATATTTTTCTGAATATAAGACAGCGTTTTTTTTCCTTGGAAATACATCTGAAAAAATTAAATCATTTTATATTCAGGGTCTAGACCAGGGGTGTCAAATTCAATTCCTGGAGGGCCAGATCCCTGCAGAGTTTAGATTCAACCCTAATTAAACACACCTGATCCAACTAATCAAGTCCTTCAGGCTT